CAACCGTGGAGCTTTTGTTCATGCAGAGTTGGTCTTTGCATCCATGAAACCGTTGCAGCTAGCTAAGTGAAATGCTGGGGTCACATCTAGGTCTACACGTAGAGACTGTCAGTGACTGACACACCTGCGTTTTTCTCTCAGGGCCTTACAAAGCCTGCCAACTGCATTTGCTTCAAAATACTTGAAGAGAAAGTCACACTAACTGACAATAATTGCTTCCCAAGGGAGTCTACAAGAGAACTGTAAGAAAAAGTCAGAAATGCAGCTCCACAAAAGTCAGGTCCAGTTCTGGAAAGATCTGGGGCTTCCGGTAGCTGACTTGGGTTTGAATCAAGGCTCTCCCACTTAAAACTGTAAGACCTGGATCAAGTTACCTCACTGTTCTGAGCCTATTTTTTCACTAGTAAAACTGATATAATAGCCACACATGTCTGTGACCACACAGACATGCTGTGAAGACCAGACGGCATACTGAATCTTAATAAGGGCCCAAAAGTGCTTGGCACATAACAGATACCCGCAGTAGGTTGCAGGGTAGTGCAATCGACCTTATGTGCTATGATAAATTATAATTATCAGTTCTATACCCCACTTCCCATTGGATGATAAGCTACTAGAGGACAGGAATCATGTAACAATATTCCTGCCTGGCCCAGAGCAATTGCACGAGTGAATGAATGAAGGGATGAAATCACTATCTACACAACCTCTGCAGCACTGTGGACACCGCAAGCTCTTCCTACCCCTACTTATGGGAGACTGATGTCTCCCTGAGGTCAGCCCCAGGCCGAGCGGCACTGGCAATAAAGGAGGAGGCAGAGAGGCACTCAATGCACGAATCCTAAAATTCCAGGAGCACAAAGTGGCTTGCTACATTGCGACCCTGTGGCTCAAGTTCAAATTTAAATCCTGGGCTCAAACAATTCAAAGGTAACCCCCCACCCAAACCGAATGATCCCAGAAAGCCAACGCCACCACAGGGGCAGCTCAGGAACGTGTCTTAGCCTCCCACACCGAATGCCACTCCCAATACAAATAACTTTAAGGAAGACAGAGAAGAGTGGTCAGAGACAGGGATGGCCAAGGTCCAGGTGGAAATGAGCTTCAGCATCAGGATGCAGTGACTGCATGGGTCAGTGTTTTGTGGAAAAATCTGGGCAAAAAGCAATGTTTTTTGCACAACTATCCTGGAGAGAGTATTGACATGCACGAGACAGTCTTTGATGGGTGCTTGCTGAACTGAAGTCAATCATCCAGGGGAGGGGTTATGTCCCCTTCCCAGTGGAAATACATCTCAGAGGTACAAGCCTGGAATGAGTGAAAAACGAGTCCAAATCTCAGTCAGAAGAAAGTGCGAGGGCTCCAGGGCCAGAAAAGATTCTATCCTATTTTTTTCTTCGTCCTCAAGTTAACCAGATGGACTTTTTTTTTTTAGGTACCAATTTATTCACATACTTGAAATGAAGAATTTGCCTTGTGATGGAAGATCTATATTTAATTGTAAAAACCTGAGGGCTGGCCTGGTGGCGTGATGGTTAAGTTCACATGCTCCGCTTTGGCAGCCCGGGGTTCGCAGGTTCGGATCCTGGGCACGGACATATGCACCACTTGCCAAGCCACGCTGTGGCAGGCATCCCACATACAAAGTAGAGGAGGATGGGCACGGATGTTAGTCCAGGGCCAATCTTCCTTGGCAAAAAGAGGAGGACTGGCAACGGATGTTAGCTCAGGACTAATCTTCCTCACCAAAAAAGAAAAAGAGAGACAAAATATTTATTTTTCAAATCTAGAGTTTATATAATTTTTTGTTTCTTTTCTTTTTTCCTCTCTTCTTTCCCCTCCTTTACTTCCCTTTTCCTCTCCTTTCTCTTCTCTTCTGCTTCAGATGGTGTATTTGTGATGTGTGTTTAGAAGAGACTAGGGACAATGTAATAATTGAGTAGACACTTGCAGATGTGGCACATGAGAGAAGATGTACACATGAAATAGAGAACAAAAAAGATGGGCCTTCCTCTTACAGTGTCCTATATGACGACGACGTGTTGTAAAACCTGAGCTCAGAATTCACGACAGAATAAATGAGAATAAGTAAATGGACAGGAATGGTGAAGGGCAAAGGAATCATGGCTATTGCTGACGCACCGGTCATCTCTCCAGGCTGTGCTTACTCCCTGAGTTTCAGTGACCCATCTATAAAATATGGATAATAACTGTACCTATCTCGTAGGGGTTTTGAGACGATTAAATGAGATAGTACATGAAAAGCTCTTGGAATGGAGACAGGGAAATAAGCCTTCAAAATAGATATTAGGCATTGTGATTGTTATGAATATTATTCAAGGACTAACGAGATTATGTATATAAATCCTTCCCATACAAAAACACACTCAATAAGGGGCAATTACCGTTATTATTATATCATCGTTATTGTTATTTTATGTCTTTATTTTATAGGTGGTTTCTGTCTCTTTGCTTGGCCTCTCTGGACTGATGCTTTTTGGGACAGCCTGTTTTGTTCTTGATTCAGATTTTGCCCAATATGTTAGCTTTTAGATTTCCTAAGATTTCACTCTCTGTGGTCCATGGGTCAATCATGCCTCATCCATATGTCCAATGAAACTATATATGTAGAATTGCCCATACTGGAACCCCAAATGCAGTTTGATCGATTGATGGTGCAAAATCAGCTACCCAAGAATTCCCATGACTCTTGTCGAAAACCATAGTGGGCTATAATGAAGATTTTATTAATAGCAAAAAAGAGGTCACATTTTTTATTTAAATTCAGGCTTAGGAAACAGGCATAACCAATTCTTGTCCACAAAGATATGTCATAACCTTTGGGCGAAGATGGCTTATATCCATAGCAACAGAGCAAACTTTGATCCAAAAGCATTTCCAGACTGACACAGATGTTCAATTTGTATACTTAAGTCTCTGAAAACCTGTTGATGGACAGCTTCATGGACATGCATCCGGCACAAAGAGTTGGCTTACTGGATCATTATCCTTGTTAAAAAAGCCTCTGGGTTGTGTCATCTGTGAGTTCTGGGTCTGCTAAGGGTGATTATACCATGATGTGGCGTTGAAAAGGGCTATATTTTCAGTAATGGATTTTCAATGTGTCACAGAAAAAGTGTAAATAGATCACACTAGTTTAAACAGGAGAATGTACAACTCCAGCCCCATTGCACCTTAGCATACAATGATGCCTTACTTCTTGACTTTTCTAGCACTGGTTATTAAGACCAATCAGATGTTATTTATTTTATACTCACTGAGCTTCCGTACTAGACAATGAGCTTCTTAAAACCAGGGACTGATGGAGGTCTAAATCATTTAATTCATCTCTGTAGCCTGGCACAAGAGCAAAGGCACAGAACATGCTCTTTGCAGCCAGCCAGCCAGCCACTATGCTTCCACCGACTTTGAAAGAGAATTGAGGCAGTGAAGAATAAAATAGCAGTACACTAAGAAATGGAAACTAATGATTATTTGCATCCACATCCAGCTTTGGATCAGATCACTTTTTATTTGGCTGAACGTTTAGAAGAGCTGGTAGGGGAATCAGACCATAAACAGATGATTTCAATAGAACATAGTCAATGTGAGGTTGGGTAACTGAGCCTAGGTCTCATTTTCCTTTGCCTTCCAATCCCTCCAAGGCCTGCTGATCTTTTAACCTCAGTTTTCAGTCATCATTGCCACTGTCCTCATTCAAGCCCTAACGGCTTTTTGTCTGTGGACTAACCTACTAAAACTGGTCTCCCTTTGCCTCCAGCCATTTGCCCTCAGGCCTTCTTCCTCACTGCTGCTAGCCAGAGTTTTTACAACTGAGACTTGACTATGTCCATCCACTCTTTCAACCTTGCACTGGTTCCTCTTGGTCTTGGTCTACTAGACAAAGTTCAGTTCCTTAGCATGCTTACAGGGAATTCTTATGATGTGGTTCCTGCCCAGCTCTCTAGCTTTTACTGTAAGTCATTCTTCTAAGAACAGTTTATGCCACAGCTGAAATTTTGAACTATTTGCAATTACCCTCAAATATGCCTTGTTGTTTTTCACTCCCATGTCTTTGTTCCTATATCAGTTCTCCTGCCTAGAAGAGTATCCCTATGTTTCTTTGCATGGTTTGTCCCTATTTATCTTTTAAGGCTCAGCACAAATGCCTTCTCCTCTGCAAACAGTTTCTTAACCTAGCTCTGTGCCAGCTCTGTGCCTTGTACCTTAGGTACAGTACTCATCTTACTTGTGTGGACCTTCTGTCTTCCTGATTAGACAACCTCATGAATTCAACAAATTTTTATCAAGCACCTTCTATGAACCAGACACTGAGCTGGATACAAAGAGAAGTATGATACGGCCTTGGCCTTTAAGAGAGTCATAGACTTCTGGAAAAGACAGATTAGTAAACCAATAAGAATAACAGAATGTGATGAGAACTGGAGTTACGTCTTAAAGGACAAGTCAAACTATGAAGGTGGTAAAGAACTCTCTGAGCAAGGACAGAAGCACATACAGAGGCACAGGAGTGGAGTAACATGAGCCGTGGGGAAGCTGTGTGTAGGGCCATCTAGCCCAGTGACAGGGACGTGTGTGGGACTGGAGGGGACAGACCACAAAGGGCATCTTGTGCCCAGAAAACTATCTGTACTGTCCCAAGTGCTATGGGGAACCACTGAAGGATGTGGGCTGGAGAGTAACATGGCCATTTTCATAAAGCAGAACATCACTCTCACTGCCATGAGAAAAATGGACTCTTGTGTGAAAGACAGGTGAGAAGATGGGTTAGCCACTATTGCCTGGACCAACATTTATTCATTTGGAAAACACATGCTGTGTATGTACCATATGTTGGGCTACACACCAGGAGAAAGAGAATTCTTCTGATTTAGGAGACTGCAAATCATCCAGACACTGGGTGTACGGATAGTGTGACAAAATGCGCTAGTCAAGGGTGTAAAAACACAAAAGACCATACTGAGAAAGAGTCAACTTACCAATTTTCCAGTAACACTCTGACCACCTTCATTCAGCCAGAACCCAGGGACCATGGCTGAGAAATAAGGGCCCCAGACTCCTGGTACAAATATCGGGTCTTTGCTGATCTGGAAAGAAAGGGGCAACACAGGTGAACATATTGACCCTCACCGCTAGAAGCAGCCTTATCCTCCTCGCATCTGATGTTTCTATGACCATGGAATTCAGCTTCTTACTAAATATTTTTTATGGTGGGGCAATCACTCCCTCCCAAGGAATGGCATGGCTTCATCTTTGGAAACCTTTCTGATAAATTCATTTAGATGTCAGGCAGGGTAGCAAAAGAGATCATTTTGGAAAGAAACTGATATGACACTTCTTTGCTGGCTCCCTCTCTATGGTAGACTGATTGCAGAAATGGTCCCCATTTTCTACCCCTCCCTGTATCCACCCCCTTTGCAGCATGACTTTGCAGCTCCTCATACTGGGAGGTGGGGTCTATTTCCCCACCCCTTGAATTTGGGTCAGCCTGTGACTTGTTTTGGCCCGCAGGACGAGGTGGACGTGACGCTGTGCCAGTCTTCCAGGCCTAGGCCTCAAGAGGACTGTGTGCCTCTCCTCCTCCTCTTGCTCCTCTGCCTCTGTCACGAGAACATGCTCAGGCTAGCCTGCTGGGCGCAACAGAGCTGAGTCAGCCCAGGGGCGGCAGGTGACGTCCCACACGTGTGAGAGCCCAAACAAGATCAGCAAATGCTCCTAGTTGACTGGCAGCTAACAAGCCCAGGTCACCAGAATCACCCAGCCAACTGACAGACTTGTGAACAAAAATACACGTCTTGTTGTACGTCACTAAGATTTTACGCATGTTTGTTCCCTAGCATTTTTGTGGCAACAGGTAACTGATACATTCCCTTCCTTCTACAAATACTTACTAGCCACCTAAGAGCATGTCATCTCCCTCTGTTGGATGCTGGGGACACAGAGATGAATCAGAAACAATTCTTGTGTTCAAGAAGCGCCCCCACCCAAAAGGGAGCTAGACAAGTAAGGAGACGAACAGAATACAGCATGGTCCATGGTATGGTATAGACTCTTGTGGAGGGGTACCAGGGGTGAGGAGTGAAATGGTCCAGAGGTGGCCTCCTAGAGAGTAGGACACAAGCTTAGACTAGGAGATGAAGTGGGACAGGCATTCCAGGCCTAGGGAATAGCTTGAACAAAGCCATGTAGGTGAGAGAGAGGTGCTCTTAGTATTCAAGATGCTGCAAGGGACCACAAAAGCCCCTTTAGGTATTAGAAAGTATATCAAGAGATGAGCCAGGACAGGCAGGGAGGGACCCCATGTTCACTCATCTGGGATGGTACACACTTCTCACTCATCTGGCAGGGCGGATGCTAAAGTCCCGTCTACGGGTGTGGAAGGGTAAGTCAGAGGGTGGGGAGGAAAATGGAGTTGGCACTCCAGGTCTACTCCCGCACATCTTGAGGCTGGGCAGAGAACCTTTTCATTCATTTATCCTACAAATATTTATTCAGCCCTTATTACATGCTTGGTTCTGTGCCAGATCCTGGGGATGTAGAAATGAACTGAATATCCATAATTTCTGCCTTCATGAAACGTATAGTCCAGCATTTTAGCACAGAGACAAATCTTCCTTAAATGTTTTGACCCCAACTATTCTGTTTCCCTTTTCACTGAACTAATGAGTCATCAAATCAGTAGGATTTCCAAACCCCCAAACAGGAAGGAGGAGAAGGAAGGCAAGGAGACTACACAACATTGTCAACTTTAAATTTTGTCAAATAAAGATAATTTATAAAAAAGGGACATTTGACACCTAAAATAGGAAGAATAATCTCAAGAAAAAAAGACAGGCTTCTGTAAGAAAAGACAGTTCAGCTTACATTGATGTATTCACTCATTTCCTTATGGGATCAACAGACATTTCCTGAGTTCCTGTTGTGATCCAAGTCCGTGCCAGGCCCTGAGAATAAATGGTGAACCAAAGAGCATAGTCCTGCCCGCTGGAGCATGCTGTCTTGAGAGAGAGGCAGACGAGGGTGACCAATCCTTCAGGTTTGGCCAGGATTCTCCCAGTTTTAGCACTGAAAGTCCTATGTCCTAGAAAACCCATCAGTGCCAGGCAAAGTGGGACAGCTGGTCACCCGAAGACAGACATTAATCAAATAATCACACAAATGTGTAATTATAAACTGTGATAAGTAAATGAAGGAAAGTCACAAAGTATAAAAGCATGTAAGTGAGGTACCTAATCTAGCCTAGGGGTCAGAGAAGGCTTTTCTGAGGGAGTGATATTTGAATTAAGATGTAAACATACAGAGAAATTATTCAGGTGAGTGTGAGTGTATGTGTGTCTGTGTGTATTGTGCAAGTGTGTGTGTGTGTGAGTGTATATGTGTATGTGTGAGTGTGTATTTGACATGGAGTGTTCCAGCCAGAAGGAGCACACACTAAATGGTCTTCGTTTTTGTCACTTTGTCTTGGCCAGTGACAACTTTATCACATGCCCACCTTAGAACCTACTGCCTTAAGCTGCATCCCAGAGCTGCTTTGGGATGGACAAGTCAGCCCATGTTCACAACCACCAAGGACCCAGCATCTGGACAGGTAGATGGATACCCACCAAAGTCAAATCGTCTGTTCTCATGCCCTGCACCCCTTCCCTTCCAGAACTCTTAGTCCCATGTGATGGATTACTCTCAGAGTGGTTGTGTAAGTTGTCCACAGTCACACAGTTAGTAACAAGCCGAGGCGGTATTTGAACCCAGCCAGATGTTGGTCTCAAACCCTATGATATGCTTTTTTATTTAACTTGTATACACAAATTACTTAAGAAGGTTATGCATAGCCCACCCCTCCCAGCACCATCTCACAATTTAAGCATATTACTGCATCCACTGCAGCAGAACTGCATGGGCTCTACTGCTCAGAAACGTCAGAAGGCTTTGCCTGGTTCTGCCCAGGGAGAAAGCTCTGAGTCGACTCCTGCTTGTGCTCACTTATCCCGAATGACACATGCTTCTCATCAGATATCCTGAGTAAAGCAAGGAAACAAAGAGACAGAAATATGTTCCCCAGAGCACTTCCTATCACTCCCAAACACCGTGTTCCCGGAGAAAATAAGTAACGGTTTGTTTTGAGAGAGAGAGAGAAAGAGCATGTTTGTATATTTATGTGTGCTTTAATTCTTTGCAATAAAACTAAATATTTAAAAATATTTTTGTGAAAGCTCTTTTCATGCTGATGGCTCTCTTGGCCTGGAAGCTGCTCTGTTACCCAAAAGAAAGGAGTTCATTTTATTCCACTGATGGCAGGTGTCCGTGCAGGACACTGACTCCCCAGGAATAATGGTACTGTTGGCAACAACAACAGTAAGATTGACTGAATACTTACTAAAGACCTTATTCTAAGTACATTATAGGAACTAAATCACTTAATCCTCATAAACACCCTAAAGGAAGATTCTATCATTATTCCTATTGTCTAGATGTGTAAACTGAGGCAGAGAGAGTTAAACAGCATGCCCAAGGTTACAAAAATACAAAGCAGTCAGGCACCACACTCTACAGGTTCTATATTCATCTCTGCCAAAGTAGGGTGTTGTTTTTAGGCTACAATTGCTTCTCTCAATCCTTCACTTGCCTTTCAAGGGCAGAAAACAAGGGCGATTACAGCCAACATAGACTCACTCAAATTGAACAAACCTCCCAACCTGGAAGACAAGCAGATTAGGGAACTTTCATTTCCAAAGGACTTTCGATAAGTTTTCCCTAACACGCTTGTGAAGAGCAGAGGAGACAGCATGGGTGAGTCAAAGACCCATCTTGATTCCATTCCTGACTGCCATATTCCAGCCAGGTAATCTTACACAAGGTAATCTTTCTGGGCCTCAGTTTCCTCAATTCCAAAATGAGAGGAATGATAAGAATATTGGAGGACTTTTGTGAAGATTAAATAAGCTGTCACATATAAACAGCTTATTATATGTTAAATACCAAGTAAATGTTAGTTCTTCCTGAAATGAGGCTTGTTTGATGGACTAGTCAGGTGACTGGGTTGAATGACCACAGCCAAAAGTAATTGCAACCATGGAAAGAGGTCTCCAGATTTGTCCTTGGTCTTATTTAGTTAATCCTCTTAATAGTGAAGTAGAAGACGATACAGAAGTAAAGTTATCATATTTTCAGATGGTATAAACTTGGAATGATGGTTTATTATGGGGCATGTCCAAATCAAGATTCAAAATTACTTCAAGAGCTAGAATTAAGTAAAATACAAGAAGAAAATAGTTAACATTTATTTAATCATATAGTTAAAAATTTACACTTAAAAGGTACTGGCAGGGGCCGGCCGGTGGCTTAGCGGTTAAGCGCAGACGCTCCGCTACTGGCGGCCCGGTTTCAGATCCCGGGCGCACACCGACACACCGCTTCTCCGGCCATGCTGAGGCTGCGTCCCACATACAGCAACTAGAAGGATGTTCAACTATGACATACAACTATCTACTGGGGCTTTGGGGGAAAAAAGGAGGAGGATTGGCAATAGATGTTAGCTCAGAGCCAGTCTTCCTCAGCAAAAAGAGGAAGATTAGCATGGATGTTAGCTCAGGGCTGATCTTCCTCACACACACACAAAAAGGTACTGGCAATATTCTCTTCCATAATATTCTTTTTCACGGACGGTGGTGCATGGGTATTCAATTTAGTTAAACTGTATGTAAACATTTGATATATTCTTTAATTATGTGTGATATAAATAAAGTTATAGAAATCTGCAATAAAACAAAACATTTAGTTGTACACTATATGCCAGGCACTGGGACCAGCCACAAGGCTGTAAAAATAACAATAATAATAATGAGGCATGGCCCCTTTCCTCAGGGAGCTCCTAGTCTGACCGGGCAGACAAAGAGGTGGAAATGAATAAATTACAACAAAACATGCAAAGTGCTACAGTAAGGGAGGAGAGGAGTGTGGAAGGAGCCCAAACCGCCTGGGAGAAGAGACAGGGCCAGCTTAGAGGTGGCCACCTCAGCGCCAGGCCTCAGAAGAGGAGCGAGTGTGTGCCCGGCGGAGACGGAGGGCCGCTCAGGCGGGAAGGGCTGTG